AGGCGCTCGCCGTGGTGCACCGGGCTACCGGCGTACGAGGGCGGGCGACCGCCGCTGTAGGACATGCGGGAGCGGGACGGCGACGAGGACTGCAGCACGGGCGGGGGGGAACCGGAGGCCAGGTGGGAGGCCGGGGAGATGTTGTTGAGCCGGCGGGTGGGAGAGGATTCCCGGGAAGTGTAGACCATCTCCCGCTGCGGGAATAGGGCGGGAGGGTGAGCGCGGAGTGAGCCCTGCCCTGCTCTGCCCTCCGGCGCCTTGGCAAACCCTTCCCTTGGAGGGCGAGGAGGAACGGCTGAGGGAGCTGGGGATGTTTATCCTGGAGGAAAGGAGGCTCAGAGGTGACCTCAGCACTCCACAATTCCCTGAAATGGTTGTGGCCAGGTGGGGTCGGGCTCTTTCTCCAGGAGCAGCTGGCAGAGCGGGAGCGCGCAGCCTTAAAATTTAGGGGGGATATCGGGAAAAAGTTTTTTACGGAAAGGGTGAGGAAGTACTGGAATGTTCTGCCCGGGGAGGTGTGGAGTCAGCAGCCCTGGGGTGTTTATAAAAGACTGGATGTGCCGTGGTTTAGTTGAGGTGTTAGGGCTGGGAGGGACTCGGTCTTAGAGGTCTCTTCCAACTCTGGGATTCTGGATTTGGGGATTCTGGGATTTGGGGATTCTGGGATTCTGTCGCTTGGGGTTCTGGGATTCTGTGGTTCTGGGATTTTGGGATTCTGTTATTCTGGGACTTGGTGGTTCTGTTATTCTGGGGTTCTGTGGTTCTGGGATTCTGTGGTTCTGGGATTTTGGGATTCTGTGGTTGGGTTCTGGGATTCTGTGGTTCTGGGGTTCTGTGGTTTTGGGATTCTGTGGTTCTGGGATTTTGGGATTCTGTGGTTCTGGGATTTTGGGATTCTGTGGTTCTGGGATTTTGGGATTCTGTGATTCAGTGGTTCTCCTATTCTGGGATTCTGTTATTTTGGGATTCTGGGGATCTGGGGTTCTGTTATTCTGGGATTTTGGGATTCTGTGGTTCTGTGATTCTGTTATTTTGGGATTCTGGGGTTCTGTGATTCCCACCCAGCAGCGGGGTGATTTATCCTGATGATTGATTTACCCCTATGAATTAATTCCCTAAACCCCACCTTTTCAACCCCGCTGTCAGCCCCCAACCAGCGCTGGAAGCAGGCAGGATAAATCCCAGCCACACACCATCCATTCCCAGTTTCTCCCGCTTCCTCTCCTTCCTGCTCCCGCTCCCCCAGGTCCCGCCACCCTCCCGGGCTGTCCCCGTGTCCCCTCTCACCCTCAGGTCGCCGTTGGTGATGTGCGAGGCTGGGAAGGAGGCGTAGAGCGGCTCTTTCCGATAGATTTTAATGATGCTCCTGTCCTGGATGTCCCTGGAAGAGGAGACAGAGCCTGAAAATCCCCATCTCTGCACCCACCACCCCCTTTCCCCTTCATCCCACAGATCTCCCGGCTCGGGATGGGTTTCCAGGCGGGATTTGAGCTGCTCACCGGACATCCTCCAGCTCGTAGAAGACGTTTCGGGACTCGTCCTTGATGAGGATGGCGGTGTTGGGGGATTTGAGCATGCCCATGGTGAGCTTCTGCGGGAACATGTGGACGATGAGGGCGTGCAGGGTGTCCATGCTGCTGATCTCGTGCGTGATGTGCACCCGCCTGGTCTCGTCCCCGAACTGCAGGAACAGCACCCCTGGCAGCACAGGGAGCACCCCAGAGTCAGGCCTGGCCCTGCCCCTTCTCCAAAGGGGTGACAGGGACGGCCTGGAGGGCTCCGGGGCAGCTGGAAAAAAGTGGGGTTGGGGAGGTCTGGCCACCCAATTTTGTTGTGGTGATGGGGGAAGGTTTTGGGGTACCCAAAAAAATGGGGTTGGGGAGGTCTGGCCACCCAACCTCGTCCTGGTGATGGGGGAAGGTTTTGGGGTACCCAAAAAACTGGGTTTGGGGAGGTCTGGCCATCCAACCTCGTCCTCGTGATGGGGGAAGGTTTTGGGGTACCCACAAAAAAATGGATTTGGGGAGCTCTGGCCACCCAATTTTGTCCTGGTGATGGTGGAAGATTTTGGTGCATCCAAAAAAGGGTTTGGGGGAGCTCTCACCACCCAATTTCACCCTGGCGAAGGTGGAAGTTTTTGGGGTACCCAAAAAACATGGACTGGGGGATCTCTCCCCACTCAACCTTGTCCTGCTGAGGGGAGGTGTTCCTAGAGAGCTCCAGGGCACCCAAAAAAATGGGTTTAGGGATCTCTCACCACCCGACCTCATCCTGGTGAGGGTGGAAGGTTTTGGGGTACCCAAAGAAATGGGATTGGGAGATTTCTGGCCACCCAATTTCGCCCTGGTGAAGATGGAAGGTTCTGGGGCATCCAAAAAAATGGCTTGGGGGAGCCAACATCCCTCTGGTGAAGGTGAAAGGTTTTGGGGTCCCCAAAAAAAGGGGTTGTGGGGATCTCTGACCATCCAACCTCATCCTGGTGAGGGTGGAAGGTTTTGGGGTCCCCAAAAAAAGGGGTTGGGGATCTCTGACCACAACCTCGCCCTGCTGAAGGCACCCTGAGGTTCCTCCCGCTCCTCCCGGGGTTTTTTGGGCGGCTGGAGGTCAATCCCCCCACTCTTCCTGCGGAAGTTTTGGTGCCGGGGGTACCTGGGGAGCGCAGCTTGGTCTGGCTGGCGGAGCGGGACAGCGGCAGGCTCTGCCGGAACCGGTTCATCCTGTTGAATCCCAGCGGCAGCTCCGCCTCCGACATCGTCTCCAGGGATTCGGCCGAGGCGAAGGAGAGCTTGGCTTGGTCGGCCAGGCCAGGCTGGGAGCCCTGGGAGTGCCGGGAGCTCCTGGTCTGGAACGGGACAGGGGACAGGGATGGGTGTCCCAGCAGCCCTGCGTGAGGCTGCTCCCGCTTTTCCTCGGGAATGCGGTGCCGGGATGGAGAGGCTGGTGTGGGAATTTCGGGGATTGGGGAATATCGAGGGAGAGATCCACAGAGGTCATGGTGTCCGACCCCTGGTCATGGGACAGCCTTGGAAATCCTGCCCTGGGCCTGAGGGTGGGGCTGAGCCAGGGGATCTGTCCTCATCCCGGATCCATCCATGTCCAGGGATCCATCCACATCCGGGGATCCATCCACACCCAGGGATCCATTCATGTCCAGGGATCCATTCATGCCCAGGGATCTCCATCCACACCCAGGGATCCATTCATGTCCAGGGATCCATTCATGTCCAGGGATCCATCCACACCCAGGGATCCATCCACACCCAGGGATCCATCCACACCCGGGGATCCATTCACGTCCAGGGATCCATCCACATCCAGGGATCCATTCATGTCCAGGGATCCATCCACACCCAGGGATCTCCATCCACACCCAGGGATCCATCCACACCCAGGGATCCATTCATGTCCAGGGATCCATTCATGTCCAGGGATCTCCATCCATATCTGGGGATCCATTCACACCCAGGGATCCATTCATGTCCAGGGATCCATTCATGTCCAGGGATCTCCATCCATATCTGGGGATCCATTCACACCCAGGGATCTCCATCCACATCCAGGGATCCATCCACACCCATGGATCCATCCACACCCAGGGATCCATTCATGTCCAGGGATCCATTCATGTCCAGGGATCTCCATCCATATCTGGGGATCCATTCATGTCCAGGGATCTCCATCCACATCCAGGGATCCATCCACACCCAGGGATCCATCCACATCCAGGGATCCATTCATGTCCAGGGATCTCCATCCACACCCGGGGATCTCCATCCACACCCAGGGATCTCCATCCACACCCAGGGATCCATTCACACCCAGGATCCATCCCCATCCCGGGATCCTCCATCCCACATTCCCAGCCGAGCTCAGGCCCTGACGTGTCCCACCCCCCGCGCCAGCTCCATCCTCCTCCACCTCCCGCTCCCAGCACCGACCCCATTCCCAACCCCATCCCTCTCTCCCGCTTCCCGCTCCGGGATGAACCTTCCCAACACCATCCCACTGCCTCTGAGCTCCCAGCCCGGCAAACCCCCGGAACCGAACCCGGCAGGAGCCGCCAGAGCCGGGCTGGAGCGCTGGAATAACCCTGGCAATTCCCAGAGCTCGCACATTCCATTCCCGGGAATCGCGAATCGCCCGGCTCCCTCTGGAAGCAGCGGGAAGTTCACGGCTCTGGGAGCCGGGAGACAGCGATGCCTTGGGGTTTGGAGCGGGGAGAATTTAATTTTCACACCACAGACATGGAAAAATGTGGATTTTTTTTTTTTTTCTTTTTGGCACAAATATCCCCAAATTTGTGGCCGGCGCTGCTGCCTGTCAATAACGCCCGAAAATCCAAGATTTTCCAGACACTTGTTGAATTTTGGCAAATCCGACAGAGGGAACAAACAGCTCCCTGGGCGTGGGAAAGGCAGAGCTGGAAAGGGACAACAGCTCTATTTTAAGATGGGTAAAGAAAAAAGGGGGGAAAAAAGGAAAGAAATCAATATGAAATGATAACAGCCATCATCGCCATTTAAACGAGACATTAATTGGAAGATTTAATTAATCCTGCGAGGCGGGGTTTGGGAGGACTTGAAATGTTCTCGCCGTAGTTAATTGCTGGAAAATTGACTGCTGGGCTCGGTTGTTGTTGTTGGAGCACAAAGAGCCCTGGCAGAGCCTCACATCCAGGAAAAAACGCAGGGATGGACCGAAACGTTCCTTGCTCCCATCCCTGGGGCCGTGGGACACGGCCCTGACCCCTCCCGGGGTGATTTTGGGGTGGAAGAGGTGGATTTTGGGACTCCCCACCATCAAGGCTGTGGTTTCTGGGTACCTCGCTCTGGGTTTGGGGTGATGCTGACCCCAGATCTCAGCTCGGATGGATCCTTAGGGAAGTGCAGGGATGGGATGGGATGGGATCCAGGGATGGGATGGGATGGGATGGGATGGGATGGGATCCAGGGATGGGATGGGATGGGATGGGATGGGACTGGCAGCTT